ACTGTGATAACTTGTCATGAATAACCTGAATGTACCAGTATATGTGTGCAATCTTATTTTTGACAATTATATTGCAGAATCATAATTAATATTAATGGAAAATTAAGGATATTTTTATTTTACTGGTACATGTATATACCTTGGAATAAACAAAAAATCATAATTAATTTTTACACATTGCAAATTGTAGTTCTGAGCCTGGCATAAACTTGGATAATACCGGTATATTAATTTCAAATGTGATAAGAAAAGCAGAAGGAGAATGTAAATATAAATACAAAGGTTAAAACATTTTTAAAATGGAAAGAAATCTTGAAAGAAAAGGTTAGTTGTGCTATATATATTTCTATAGTGTAGTGGTCATCACACTCGCCACTCTTTGGTGGGAGACCCAGGTTCAAATCCTGGTGGAAATAATAGTACAACTTGAAATTATGTTAATACTACAAGCATATAAACATAAACTACTAATTATATACAACTCATTTCCCATTACTTGGTACATTTCATATGAATATATATATATACTTGTTAATTTGTTCTTTATTGCATACAACAACAGGACATTCGAACATCTTGGTAGGCAGCGAGTATTACATTTATGATTTGTGAACTTAAGCTAGAAAATGGATATTTTTTTTGTTTTCAAAGTCTTGGTGTTGACCTCTTATGAATGCCTTTTGTCCATCATAGTAACCACTTCAGTTATGTTTATGCCGACGCCGGAGGGGGGGGGAGTGGGGGGTGTCATATAGTGTTGCCCATCCCGTCCCTTAAAGCCCTTAGCTGGGGCGCTGCAGGCGCCCGAGATCTACACTTTCATCACAAAGGTTACCGAACTATGTGCGATCGCATATAGGCAGTGCCTATTTCATATTAAACTCATAATTTCATATCAATTTCATATGAAATTAATAAACTCGTTTAATAAATTCAATATTACATGAACACTCGTGTCAGATCCTCTATTTCATGCACAGGGGTCTAGGACAGGGAAATTCCACCCGAGGGGTTTCAAGTTTGGTCAAACCCGAGGCTATGCCGACGGTTTTGCCAAATTTGAAAATCTAGAGGGTGGAATTTCCCTATCCTACACCCTTGGGTATGAAAGAGTATTTTTCTCTCATTCCAACCACCAGAATAAGCTCAGAAACCATGAAAATGTGTTTGGACTGGCTGACATTTTGAAAATATCAATTTTTCCCCTGAGCTTTTTAGACAAAAACGAATTAGCGTACCATATTTCTGAAAAGATTTTAATTTCATCACGTGGCCCTTTTCCGCATTGCGGCATAGAAGAGTTCCAAATTTGTGACGTCATTGTTGAGCTATTGTGTCACTTCACGTGAAATGGGGTGTAATATAGAAATTTCCTACACCCCTTTTTTACCCTGGACAGCTCTATCTTACACACAGGGAAATGAGAGAAAATATTCTTTTGAAAAGGATTCTTTCTATCAAATATAAAATCTATCCAGTACTTTTGTAGAAGTAAATTATAAACTCCCACATCCATTCTCTCATCTGATTGCCACAGTATACATATTTTTTGTATATTAATTACTATATGGAGTGCTCTCTCAATATTACAAGTCAAAATTATTTTATTTAGTGAGTAACTAGATAGGATGGTATGAACACAGTCCTACATGAATGTAAGTATAAACACTTCGGGCTTCTCTTTCTAACATAGATAATGGTGTATTGTAAATACATGAAGTAAATTATGTAAATATGATGTTCTTCCATCCTTTCTATAAAGTGATATAATATCACATATGGTCAAATACAATTATAGTTGTGAAGCATATAGCTGTATCTAAATATGTTTTAATGCAAAACAAACATACATTATGTACGGGACAAGGAATTTTTCCAATAAATGAATGAATTATCCAAAAATCAGAAACATTACATGATGGCGATCTGAAAACAGATAATTAAGTAACTCAAATACATAAAAAGAACAGATGTTCGAAAGCAGAGCGTTCCCATCCTCCATTGAACCTTTGGAGCTAATTTACAATTTCTTCTTTATCACTCGTATAGCAAAGTCCACCATGTTTCTCCATCGTTTAAGACGTACGTAAATGTCCTATAAAATAACCGATTAATAACGGTCAATGTTCGTTTCTTAAATCTAAACACTATCTTGGTATAGTCTTCTATAGCATGTTTCATATATTAACAACAATATTTATAACACAATTTTGAGAACAAAACTGAGATTCATGTTGTCAGCATAATTCGTCGAAATATGAATACCTTATTTTTGTGCTAAAAGATTAGTCTTTCGTCGTTGTCAGGTACTGTCCTGCAACTCCCCGAGGAAATCTAGTTGAAGATTAAAATAGCTCACACTTACCGACAAATAAGGATAAACCAAGTCTATACTTAATAGCTCCGATAGAACGTGAATTGCCTGTAAAGCTTAAGAAAAAATACTAGACCGCGTAATAGGAGCATTTATTGACGAATACAGCAGCCGACATTGTCTCTCGGGACATATTCCACAAATTTATAAAAACGATTCTGTGTGTCGCCAGCTATATTCGGCGCTCCAGTAGAGGTTTCAGTCGATATTCTCTTATCCCAGCTGTCCAACTAACTGAATCTATATCACTGTTTACGTTTCCCCGACGGTTTAAAGAAATTACTACAACGGTTAAGAAAACCAAGAATAAGGTACATTGTTTCCACCGAGACTTTCCCGTGTGTAAATGCAATGTCAGTTTGGATTTTGTGGCCCGTCAAATTAAATTACTTCAAAACTGCATGTTACCAGTACCATAACATTGTTTATTTCTTTATTGTTTTATTAACTAGCGTCCTTGGTACATTCAGATGTATGTTACGGTCGGCAAACCATTCATGACGGTTTACTTTCCGGTAGATATACCTTCACTCGTAGTATACACCGTACACAGAAGCCACAGCCACTAGTGAATCGTTCGTGTATGTGGTGGTACAGAAGTTGTCAGTAGAGGCGTCCCAGACACACCGACTGGCCATCTGCATAGTACTCTGGCCGTTGCACTGTCCAATGAAAACGTAAACGACGACTCTATATCGCGCCATGTTGAGCCCTCTTACTCTGTTCTTTATCGTCTGAGAAATGTCACATACCAATCTGTTGCAAATGCTTGAATTATACTTTACACTATGTAATGTCTGCTCCATCACTTCTTGAGCTATGGATTTAATATCATTTGTCTTGAAAATTTGACCTTGATCAGGCTGCATTTTATACGTGTTTTCCATTTTTTCTTTAGGGAATTTGAGCTCGTCTAATCCGGGGATGCTCAATCGTCCTTTTGTTGCTCTCCGTACCTGCAGCAGGGAGGTTATTGATGATGCAATCCCTTTGAAAGTGGACCGTCTGCGATTGGAAACAACTGGTTTAGATTCATCTATCTGAACCCCCGACGATGCCTTGGACATGATGGACGTTCGTCGCTGTTTCCATTGAGTGACCAAGGTGTCGCCGTCTCCGGATTGAAGCTTAGAATCAGCGGTGGTCGCACTGGCCTGTGTGTAGGCAAAATACATTTATCAGTTCACGGATAACTATAGATGGCCCCAGTTTATATCAATACTGATACAAGATGAAGTAGCTTCGTATTACCTTGAGCATATAGAGTATATACTTTATTAAGTTATTCATATCAATTTTTAATCAAGCGACTAAATGGAGAATATACACATATAAAAGAGAGCTTGGCGTAGAACATGTGTTAATTGTATTTGTCTGCATATATAGACCTTCACGGACTCGCTACTAGCGCACATTGTCTCCCAGTTCATGTGATGATGATATATGCATTGACAGATTATTGCAGATATCAAAATTGTACAATTTCTCTCGTCAGTTTAATGTGAAACTTATTTCAAAACCTTGAGCGTAACTCTGCGTCAAACATGTCAGAGAGTTGTCGCCCGTTAATACACTGTGAATATTGGATCGATTACACTACTGCCATGCCACCTTTAAAGCATCTCATTTGTTGTTGTTTTTTTTGTGTTTATTGCTGTTAAATGTATCACAAGGATGTAGAAATGCATTTTTATTGATCGTATATCAACTGTTTGTACGCAACCATTCGGCGTGTTTGTATTTTATGGGTGTAGTATCACTAGTGAGGACGTACGTATCTACGGGTTGGTACTTTCATGTGTCGTTTTTCAACTTTAAAGTTCAATAAAGTGAAGCATTTTGAACACGCTAATAGGGCAATCGGAGAACTGATTCACGTTACCGCTGCGTTGTGGCGGACAGTTAAAAGCATATCCGTAACTTCATCGACCAAAAGATTCCATCTCTAGGATTAAAAAGTGCGTTTATATTGACTTAAGTAAGAGGTTGTTTTGCAAATGCGTTACATTTTATATCCGTATCGTATTTATGGCAAAATGATGGATACCAGCACAGAAACCAACATGTCAAGATCATTCAGGATACCACTGTTCGGGAGAAAATAGTAATACCAAGACATCTAAGAATATGCCTGCCACTAGTTTATCTCCATTGAACAACGATTATTAATAGGGAAAAAAACTTTATGCAGTTCTTGTTTTTTCTTGAATTACGAAAATATCTTGTATCGATTTTGTTTAATGTTTTCATATAAGTAATCTGGATAGTAAACAGAATTTTTTTTACAAATCTTCAGTCTCATATTGAGGTTTCGATATTTGTAAGCACGAATATTCTTAATACATTATGAATACCAGAGAAATATACAGTACGCTATAATTAGCTGGTATTTTAAAACAAAGTCGAATGTAAATCTGGGTCATTGCTTATATGGTAATTGAACAACACCAGCTTGCGGTCACATACAATCAGACAGCTAACAGACCAGTAATAATTCACTTGTAGACCACATTAAAGAGAAGAGAAGGCAATCGAAAGTGACAACTATCTATAAAACCATAGTTATTAACAGACCAAAAGATTCGGATTTGTATATATAACTATATAAGAGGAAAAATCAGTTTACCTGTGATGGTGATTCAGGTTGCGCCATGTTTTCCTGAAAAAAAAAATTCAACATTAACATTTGTAATGCGATTGTTTAATAGCAATAATTATAATCTAGTTATTCAGTGGAAATGAAATAAGAGAAAACGTCCGCGAAAACTAAGAGGATATAACAATAAAAAGTACATACTATTGTTCAACACAAAACGAGGAGATCAGAGCTAGCAGAAACATATGTCAAACAAAACAAGGATAACCTCAGTTAATATCGGCAAAAACAAAACAAGGACATCGGGATAACCTCAGTTGATACACCACTAATGCGGTACGGTCGCTACATATTACCGCATATAACATACACATATACAAGTTCTTGACGCGCAAACACATAATAAATATAAGGTTTTAAACGCGCACACCTTATTCATATTAATCCAATACACCAATGTACCGATTTTACTGAAAATACTTCCTCTCTGCTAGATCTTATTCTTGTCAGCAACCATTCAATAATAAATCAAACATTTGTTGGTGAATCGTTCCTAGACCAACCATTACGATATCACTGACCTGTATTTGGAATTTTTAATTCTACCAAAACTACAGCTAAATCCTTCAATAGTAAGGTATGGCTTTACAAGCACGCTGATTTTTAAAAGTATAAAACGATGGTAATGAATACGGACTGGTCATTTCTTGACTCAAATAACATAGATGAATCATGTAGAAATCTGACAGGCATATTAGAGAGAATTTTCCATGTCTGTATTTCAAATAAAACTATTGTGGTTAAAAGTAGAGATCTACCTTGGATGTGTCACGATATAAAAAAGTTGATTTCAAAACGTAAAAAAAAATACATAAAAGGGCAAAACAGACTAATAGAGATTGTGACAGGTTAGAGTTAGACATATACGCTATAAGTGTGTCAACCTAATTAGGCAGTCCAAAGACAAGTATCTCAACAAACTGTCGCTAGAACTATCTGTCCCAAATCGTTCAAAGTCATGGTGGAAAGTTCTTAACAAATTCATGAAAACAGACACAAAAAATCCCACATCCCTGTCATTATTAGTGATGGAAATTATTACGATGACGATGCTGACAAGGCTAATATTTTCAATTCTTATTTTTCTAGCCAAGCTAGAGTTGATGATTCCGCTACCGTACTTCCGGAAGATAACTGGTGTATCTCTCCCAACAAACTTGGTCAAATTATAATAACAAGCGATGACGTCAAAGATATACTGGTTAATCTGGATCCGTCGAAAGCAGTTGGACCCGACCTAGTTAGCCCCAAAGTCTTAAAAGAGACAGCCAATGTTCTTTGTAATCCTCTTGCCTTCTTTTTTAACAAATGTCTTGCCACGTCTAAATTTCCATCGCCATGGAAAAGAGCTAACGTCATACCTGTTCATAAAGAAGGAAAACGAGATGACGTCAGGAATTATCGTCCCATATCTCTAATAAGTGTCTTAGGAAAAGTATTTGAACGCTTCATATTTAAATATTTGTACAATTTTCTTCGTCAAAATAGCCTTATTACTAGCTGTCAATCAGGTTTCACACCCGGCGACTCTACTATAAACCAATTACTTAGTATATCTAACGACTTTGGTAAAGCTCTAGACTCAGACAAAGAAATATTCGAGCAGTATTCTGTGATATCAGCAAGGCTTTCGACCGTGTCTGACATCGAGGCCTTCTTTTCAAACTTCAAAGACTTGGCATATGTGGAAAGTTATTAACCTGGTTTGAAGATTATCTTCTTGACAGAAAACAAAGAGTTAATTTAAATAATTTCAGTTCTAATTGGGCATCTATTAATGCCGGGGAACCCCAAGGCTCTATCATTGGACCTCTGCTCTTCTTGATGTACATTAATGATATTGTGTTTGATTTAAACTCCAATTACGACACATGAAATCCTGGAATCGGACTTAGACAAAATAAATGCATGGTTACGCCAGTGGCTTGTAGACTTTAACCCAAATAAATCTGAAACTATCGTCATAAGTAGGAAAAGAAACTCTCCCAACCACCATCTCTTACATACGAACCAAATTCCTATAAATAACGTATCTTTCCATCAGCACCTCGGAGTATTTTTCTCCTCAAACGGTAGTTGGTCAGATCATGTCAATTACATCATCTCTAAAACGTCACCTAAGCTCAACCTCATGCGAACCTTAAAATTCCAGCTTGATAGAAATACTTTACAATCTCTACTTGAGTATGGAGATATAGTGTGGGAGAACATTCCGAATGAGTTGGGAAAGACACTTGAAAACCTCAATATTGAAGCCGCTCGAATTGTAACAGATGCAACTAAATTAGTAAGCATTTACAAACTTTTCAATGAATCAGCTTGGGTCAGTTTATTCGATCGGAGGCAAAATCATAAATTTATCTAGTTCCATAAAATGTTCTATCAATATAAACCTGAATATTTATATAGCCTTATCACACGTACTGTATCGGAAGGGCATCGATATGATACCACAAACTCCGACCATTCCTTTATTACTCCAATATTGAGCAAAACTTCCTTTTATAAGCAGTCATATCTACCTTTTGTTATAGACCAATGGAATAGTCTTCCACAAAATGTACGATCAAATCCGTCTACTTCTGCTTTAAAATCCTATCTAGCCAAGCAACATACTAAGAAAACGCCTACCTATTACAACGTTGGTACCCGCAAGGGCTAAATATATCACGCACGACTACGAATGGAGTGTAGCTCCTTAAATGGTCATTTATTTGCTAAAAATATTTCTCCATCTCCATTATGCATGTGTGGTGAAGTCGAAGACAATAAACATGTTTGTATTGGAATGTAACAGGTACGATCAAATAAGAAGACGCTACCTACAGTATTTGCCCATAATATTACTTTGGAGTTATTATTATTTGGAGATGATTCGTTTTCATTGGCTGAAAATAAGTTAATATTTCTAGCTGTACAGAATTATGTACTTAAAACTGGCAGATTTTCTATAACTGAATAATATGACTTGTAAACTTGTACAATATATATCTTACCCCAACCATCTTACTCTTAGGAAGATTAAACTATTGTTATTTCCATTAATTATTGGTATATATATATATGCGTGTGATGTGTGTATGAATGGTGTTATCACGTATTGAATATACAATGTATTAGTTGTTGTTTAGTATACTTGGTGATAGGTTTACATTAGTGTCTGTGACACTTGTTCCTATTTCCCTTTGTCTTTAACTTCATTGAACTGAAATAAAAGAAAATTTAAACTAATCCAATACAGACATATTTATCTTGACACATTCGTTCAGACGATCAACTTTCTTAGTATATTCTTTTATAATTATGTACGATATGGGAATAAATGTTACTCAATTTGCAATTATTTCCCATTTCGGTTTCAGGAAAAAGTTTAAATCAACGCGCAAATACGATAACTGTATATTGCACGACAATATCAGAACTAGCATGCAACGAGTTTAGTACTGGGTAATAAGCCCGCAGTAGTCTAGATCTCAACCACACACTAAAGACATTGAGTCTGCTGTAATACCTCCTATTGTTTTGGTACTACTGTAATACTTTGCCGTCTGAATGCCAATGGTGTTTCTTCAAACAGAATTGACACATAATTACCTATCAGAAAACTCACTAAATAAATATAACACTATTAAGGTTCCATCTAATGTTGTATATACGTGTGTTATTAAATTAAAGGCTTTCCCCGCTACCGGTAACATATTCTATTACGCCCAGGAGAATTCATATCCAACTTTCCTCTTTATATATAGGGGGTAATAAAAACAACCAATGAATGCAGTACTATCATCACAACAGTAAATAGACAATTTTGGTTTTACTGCAATGCGTTTCAGTAGTTACTCTCAGTCAAGTGATGTCTTGTCTTACAAACGGAACAACCCAAGTAAAAGTAGTGGCCGGATGGCACAGTGGATAGCGCACTTGCCCTTCACGAAGGCGGCCGGTGTTCGATTCCCCTGTCGGACGTGAAAAGGTATGGGGTCAACTGCCCGATCACATAGGTTTTCTCCGGGTACTCCGGTTTCTTCATACATCAAGACCCCCAGCGCGCTAACATCCGGGCCAACATGAGTGATTAAAATAAGTTAAATAACTTCTTTCATAATTGTTGTAAAAATAATAAGTTATCATTTTTCAAGTAATTTCAATCGACTGTTAATATAATTGTATCGTATGACTTGATCCACTTGTAGTACAATGTATTCGATAAACAATTTAATAATTCATAGGGTAATTAAAGTCATTAAAATAGAGAAATGATTAACTTTACTTTTATTAATTTAAATAAAACACCTAAGTATTTAATCGATTTGCCCAAAGCAATACAAATCATGGAAACGTCCAATAGCAGAGAAGGATTTTTGTAAACGACGGGGGCCGCGATGGCCAAGTCGTTAAGGCGTCTGGCATTCTGCTACCACTAGCCCTCCGCCACCGGCTTTCCTCAAACACCTTTAATGCGGCGTTCACACAGTGCCAATTATAGCTCCCGTGTTTGGGATCAGACAGCGCTACGACACGAAAGCGAAAAGTCGGATTACTATCCTCAATGATCTGGAGTGTCCTATCATTGTCTGAACGCCGTAACAGAGTCCTACGGATCGGGAAAGGTCCGTAGAGGTCGGCCAATCACTGCCGACAGTTAGGCGCGTCCCGTAACATTCGAGAAACTCAACCGATTTTGTCTAGTCGGCTTACAATCGTGACTATATCGTGACAGATACTGCTGTATCGGATCAAAATCGTAACAATATCCTGTGTTGTCTGGACGGTGTTTAGACGGTGTCGTGTGGATCAGGACGCTGTCGTGATGAACGGTCAAGGTTTGGAGAGTTTTTTCATTGCCGTTTCCAGCCGATTAAGTTCAAATTGCGTCCAGATCTTGCCGAATGCGTTCAATGTCGGATCTCTGTCGGATCGCGTTCGGGAGAATCGGGAGAATCGGGACCCCGTCGGGAAATATTCGGTCGTTTTTAACCATGCGGAAGATACAAATCGGATCA